CTTGCAGAATTTCTGCTATTGCAGGACGATCCCAGAAAAAGCGTTTTTTCAGGATTCTCCAAAGAACACCAAATGTCGTTTGCAATGCAAAACTTCATGATAGTTGCGGTTGCTGAAAATACCATGTTGGCGGCTTCCGTGCGCATTTTATCCAAACCTGCTCACTCATCTAAGCCCACAAGCTTGTCTTTTGCCCGAAGAAGTCCAGGCACCGTGAACCCTTTGTGCCTGAATCGCCAAAGTTTCTTTTTCTGGCCTTTGAAGCTGTGTATCAAGTTGGCGCAAGGTGGACAGCCAACAGTCTGTCTGTCTCCTCTAAAAGAGCCACGAGGTCTTGAAATTCTTCAGGGTTGGTCACATCATAATTTGCGACAAAGATCTGTGAGGCCCTTTCCGATAATTTGTCAACAGGCAAAATGCCTATTCCTTGATCTCGTGCTATCTTTGCAAGCCTTGCCGTCCCTGCGAGCATCACCACAAAAGCAAGTCTTGTAATGTCTTGCCCTGGAACTTTGGGTCGCCTTTGGCGTTCTGATAGGTGACACTGTCTTGTACCCCATTGTTTGGAGTCACATTCATTCCAACATGTTGTTGTTCAACATCCAAAAAGGGTGAATCTTGCCGCTGTGGTTTGATCTGACTTTTTGCAAAGAAAACCACTTTCGCATCGTGCAACTTTTCTCTTTAAGAATGCTGCTGTTTTAACGCTGTCCTGCTTTGTCGATAGTTAGCTGGAGCGGCAAGTGACCAAGCTATGATTGCTCTTTTGGCACTTTATGCAGCAATGCATGCCCTTTTTGCAACGTCCATTTGACACCTCGAGTTTGCACCCACTTTTCTGATTGAAGGCCCAGCAAATTGCCTGTCCATTGGCGTCTCTTTGTGCAAATCCTTTCAGCTCACTAGGGCACATTGCCTTCGCTTTGGCAGAGGTCTTTGCCCGCTGCAGGAGGTCCAGGAGTGGCCTTTGGTGTCGGAGTAGAGGAAGCAGCTTTTTCCTGTTCCTTTGGGCTACCCTTTGCCATGGGTAGCAAGAACATTGTGACCCTGGGGTCCGTTCTGAGCTCTTTCAACTTGGCCTCCATTGGGAGAACTCCTCCGGGGTCAGGCTGCACAGAGTCTTGCAGCTCCTGGGCCATTATTGTAAAAAGTTCCCTGTCTGCTCGAATTGCTTGGCTAATTGAAACTCTCGTGAATCCAGGCGGTGGTTCTCTGGTCAGCTGTCTCAGCAGCTGTTGTACCCAAGCTTCGTGCTCGTCAAACTTGATGAGCGTACACTGATCGTACGCCAAGCCACGGCGCTGAAGCGCCCATTGAAACTGCAAATCTGTAGAAGTGTCGGCCACCAGCTGCTCTGTGGGTGTGGCCAACTTCACCATCTGCTGTTCTAAAGAAAGGATCATGGGCTTCTCCTTGAGGCTGTTTTGAACTTCACTGTCTCTCTTAGTGCACTTACTCGGAGCAATCCAAGTGATGCAGTTCGTCTCTTTGACCTGTGCCACCAGATCCACTAAGGCGTAGGACGGCTGTAGTTCGCCTTTCAGGCGCAGGCCAGGAAGTCTGGCCTCTTGCTCCTTGAACCGTGCTGCTTTTTCTGCTAGAGGCAGCTTCCTAGCCCCATCTGGTGTAGTGTCCATTGCACGTGACTTCAACTCAGCCATCACTATTGCAGCGGCTTCGAAATGCAGACGCTTGAGGTGCGCTTGCATACCAAAACTCATATCCACTCCTCCATTCACCTGCGTTGCAAACTCTTTGAATTGTTCCTCTGTTGGTGGTGACTGCGGTGTCCCCGACGCAAATGCCAAAGCACTCAAGCTTTTGATACCATGGTTGACCAACAAGGTTGCCAAGCTACCATCTCCCACCAATTTGTTGCAGTGCTGCTCAAACGCAGCTTCGGAATCGGCAAGAGACATTGAGGGCGATAGCTAAACTGCCAGTCTGACTGTGTATCAAGTGAGATTTTTCAGGCACTGCAAGTCATCAGTATGAGTTTGAACGTGTTCGCACAATGGTTTGCAACCAAACCGTGTTTGTCATGCAAAAAGGTGCAAACCCTGGTAATCAAAGCCTCGTGTGTGTATGATCAGTGCATGTCACCCCATGAAGACTTTCTACATTAAAATTGAAGTTAAAACTTTGCACTCATGTCCACAACTCTCCATATCTCAACGACCTATCGTTTCTGCTTGAACCTTCAAGCTTCAACGATTCCTCGCTGATGTGACAGTCCTGAAACTGCCCTGAGAGATGCACGACTTCTGAGCACAGCATCGATGCAAAACCTTTCACCTGTGGCCTCAAGGTTTTTTCTTTTTCACTGAAATTGTGGAATCCTGTTGTCATGCCCCCAAAAGCCGTTCAACACATGACCGCAAAACTCGTGAATTCCATGCTTGAAATTAAACTGAAAAATGTGACATGTGAATCTCAGCTGGGAACCAAGCCTGCCGCTAGGAAAAACTTTTCCACACTTGCGGACGTTGCATGTTCAGCTGTCTTTCAATCTGAAACACTGTTTGCACTTGGTTGAGTCATACTTGACTTCACCCCAGTGCCTTTTTGAAACCTGCAGTGATCCTCCTTCCATAAAGAAGGACCTTCACATGCTCGGCCCTTCAAGGTGAAACATTCCTGAATTGCAATTTCTGCCACAACGCTTTGTCAACCGGCTTTTCTATCAAACAGTGCCCAACTACCGGTGCAAAGGCATGGCTTTCACTGTCCGACGAGTCACTTGCATGTGTGGTGACATGTCCTTGCTTAAAATCTCGGCTCCAGGCTTGGTCTGGTTTTCAACAACCTTCTGCCAAGATCCTTCAGAACACGATTCAACCTGTTGACCGGCATTCAATTCACTCAGAGTCAGTCGAACATTTGAATTGACTGCAAATGCTTCCACCTGATCAAATGGCGCTGCCGCCGTTTTAAGCCTTCCACTTCTTGTGCAGTCAGGGTCAAAGACTCCCCTTTGGGTCTCATTCAAAACGTGAGCCAGCAAAGCCAACAGTTGAGCAGCCCTAGCCCGACTGTAAACCAGTGCCATCTTCATGGGATTTGCATGGTAACCCAAAATTAGCCTGTCCTCAAATGACCCACCTCTCTTTGCCAAGTTGGAAAAGCATGTGCACTTGCAAAAATGACTAGTGTCTTTTGGAGCTCTGTTCAAAGTATCATCCAACAACTCATGCATCCACATCTTGGCCTCTCGCGTTGTCGAAGGACGCCACGTAGGTTCCAGCATGCTATCAGTTGCAGGCATCAACGGATATCTAGTCAGGTCATCAATTTTCAAAACTCTTTGAACATGCGTCCATTGCAAACCCCAGTTGTCATCTGTGATACCAAATGCAGGAGATGCCATCGGTAAAATTGACGTCTCAAAATGATACGCTATTGCCATCTCAGATACCGCGTTTTTTGCTTCCAAAAATTTGAATGCGACCATCAGAATCCCTATCTTCAAACATGGCTTCAGCGTGCTGAGGGTCAGACCACCTAGCTCTTGCATAGACACAAAAAGGACCATGCCAGCCATCACCCTATTCCAGATTTCTTCTGATTCCCGTAGCACTGCATGAAAAACTTGCAATTGTTTGACAGTGAAATGTTCTGCTTGCTTCGGACAGTTCAAACTCCTAGTGAATGCAGCACTTGTGCACCTGCGGCTTCCTGTCAAAGCTTGAAGAGCGTCGACACTAAAAACATTCCTGACAAAGACCAGAGCCTCAAAGAACGACTTCAGTGTTGATGACGGCGCTCCCCTGACAGTTTCCTGTTTCAAAAAGTTGTAGACCTGTTCTTCACCGCAAGGAAACCTAATACCATCTACTTGCAAAGCAGTGCAAAGTCTCTGACAACGGTTTACTCGCTTCATCAACGCCTGAGGTGACTTGTTGTAAAAAACATCCACCAGTATCCGTGCCTTCTCCTTAAAGGTCTTGCAGTTGTGTGAAACTGCAATCAAAGTTGAACTCTCCGGCAACCAAGTATCAGTCAGCGCAACCCAACTTCTGACTGAAGTTTCCAACATTGCTCCAAGTTCCTCTTGCCAGCTGCATCCAGGTATGTCCCTGACATGTTGCATGAAACCTTTCACCTCTTGAAAAGGCCTTGGAAAAACTCTCCGTTCGACTTCACGTGAAGAAGCACTTCCAGATTCTTGTGTCACAGGTGCTGGCAAAGTTCGCTTGAACTCTTTTCCCATCATGTCCATGACCGACTGGTTTAGATCCAAAAACTGTCCCAGCAACCCCGTTCCCAAAGGAGTTTGACGTTCTCTGCTGAAAGGATCTTCCAAGCTGATTGCATCAATGTTTCCGGGTTGTAGTCCCTTGCTTGCAACACCCAGGTTGTTTCCAACTGAAGTTTCCGGCAAAAACCACGAAAAGTCAGTACACACAGAAGGTGAGTAGCCAGCATTGTCATCAGGCAAACCTAACAGATCTGCAAAGTCCAGATTAGTCAGTGGCTCAAGAATTTCTCCAGCGTCCACTTCTAAGTTCTGAAATTCAAGAAAACCAGTGTCCAAATGGCTTAATCCAGTTGTTTCCGATCCTCCAATTTGTTGTCCAGACTCTGCCAGGCTCGCTCCGACTTCCTCTGAAGAGGAATCCATGGCCAACTACCTACCCCCATGCTAAAATTTCACACTCACTCAAAAGTGAAGTGAAAAACCCACCTCACCCACCCTGGTTTGAGGCGTGCGCGCACATAAAATTATTTATGCTGCCCTGCCAGGTTGTTTTGAGAGTTTGTCTTTGCAACTTCAAAACCACAAAACCAAAAACCTAGAGCCTTTCTTGTTTGTGTGAAACCAAAGAAGCATTTCCATTTCAGTTTAAAATGCTCAGGTTTTCACGTTTGTTCTTTGTACTGATTTTAGCGTAAGGTGAAAAACAGGTTACAGAAACAACCGCCCAACCTAATTTTGTCACTACAAAATTTTTCCTCATCATTACAAATAAGGGGATCATCATTTCTTTGAAATGAGTTGCTCCCATCAGTGCGGCCAGTTCCTCACTCTCAGGTGTCTCAGACATCATCTGGGCTGGTAACCTCGAAACAGAAAGAATACCTTCGCCTGCAACAAAACCCAACAATTCACGATACCGGGTGTCCAACACTTTGGTCATCATGTCACTAGGATTTTCACTACCCTTCATCCAAACAATGACAACGCTTTGGGATTCCAATTGTTCACGAACCCAATAGATTCGTACCTCAGTGTGGCGTGAACGCCTGGGAACATCGCTCGCATCCAACAGGTCGCGAGCTGAAGCTGAATCAGTCTTTACAATCGCCCCCTTTGGAAGTCTACTCTGGATTCCCCCCAATGATTCCACAAGACGTAAAACCAATTGACGTAAACCCAAAAGTTCTTGGATATATGCCTGAATCCCGAACAATTCACTTTCACATGTTGACAGCGACACGGCTGTTTGGTGACGTGCATAGCTCTTGATCAAACAGTTACAGAAGATGATTGCAGCTCCACTAATTCCCTTTCGATTAGTCGACCGCATTGGGGCATGACTAGCATCACAGTACCCAGTCAAAAGGTAATCTTCACTACCTATTTCACCATCACTTGGAAAAGTCAAACAAACCAAGCCATCATGAAACAGCCAACGAAGTACCTGTCTCAAAGCCCTTTCATGACGTTCATTTGGAGCTGCTTGACCTGTAGACAAAATACATACCATGATGTGAATGTCATCTCGAGTCTGCGAGAGCCAAGCCAGTTTTCCAAGCGCACGTCGATATTTCGCATGAGCTTCATGGCTCAGCAATGGACTTTCCCCAGGCTGCTCCAGAGTCGTTCGAATGTTCGGCACTGCAACACCAGCTGTTTTAGTTCTCCAGTTGCTCCCAATCTGATAATCCGAAAATGAACTGTCCAAATACGTTGGTTCAACCGAAATGAACAGTTTTGGCTCACGAGGCAATCTTTTGATGATTCTACCCACAAACTTAAGTTGACCCCCCTTTGAAGGGTGAACACTCCCGGTTATCTTGGTGGGCACAACGGAGTTCAACAACTCATGGACCTTCTTGGCAAAACCCTCATGTGGACTAGCTATCAAAATGTCGTCAACAGGACTAGCTATCAAAATGTCGTCAACATAAATAACAACAAGTCCATCTGGTCCAGCTAAAATACATGGTTCTCTTTCATCAGCAGTCAAGTTCATAGGTTTCACAATGGAAGTTACATAGTGTAACCACTCCCCTGACGCTGGTCGAAGACCAGTAAGAGCACGATTCAGTTCAAGATAGATCGGAGACCCATCCTCCCAAGTTAGGCTCAATGGCATTTTGACCATGTACTTACAATGCGAACGCAATGGAGTATGCATGAACGCGGCGCTAACATCTAATCCTGTTAAAAACATCTTTTCTTGCGCTGCAAGGGCGAGTACTGATTTCAGTCCTTCAGTAGATGGCGTTGGCGACGAAACACCACTACTCTTCGCCTTTGTTGATGCAAAGTCTTTGACTACGATCCTAGATCGCACTCCATCTTGTCCGTCAATGATTTTATGGGTCGTAACCCATCGCGATGTCAATACTTTTGTGGTGTGTTTCGCGCAAAACGTTTGAGCTTCCTCATATTTTCGGGGAATACCAGCTTTACACCGTGTCAAATTACGGATTTCAGTCTTCATACCATCAAGTGTCTTATCCCCTGGCAAGCTACCCATGGTGCTATCATCAACAGCTTCGTTTGGAACCCAAACTTTCGCTTTCACCCCACAAAAATCAATGACTTCACTTTGAGGATTACTCCCAAACATCTTCAACCAAACATGGATAAGTCACAATGCTGCACAAGTCCTCATGTGTCCAAAGTCCGTCCATAACTTCAGCATCAAAAACGCACTCCATTCCATCGTTTGGTTCATCGATACCTCGTTTCACAACTCTAGGCCTCTCAGACTCATCCTCCAAAACAGGTGGCATGTCTTCGTTTTCAGCTGGTCGTTTAACCCCTCTAGAGTCACTACCAGTCCCAACAGAAGTGTCACCAGAAGCTACCGTGGTTTCAGTTTCAGGCACAGCACGCTTACGCGATGCACGCGAACCAGACGCGCTAGAAGGGCCCACATCACCCATCGCATCATCAAACGCAGGTTCAGAAGTCACTACCTCCTCATCATTGAAGATACTTCCGGGAACAGGCACAACATCCTCACCTTCACCTGCATCACCAGGGGTACTTGGGGATGGTACCGGACTGTCAATGACAGGACCTCTACGCTCCTCAACCTGGGCTTTATCTGCAACGGGTTGACCCACACCCAACTTGGCACGCTCTTCTTTCAACCATTCAACGTACGCACGACAGCATCTAGCGCTATGAGACTTACCAGAACGACCAAGACCAAGTTCAAGGTTCTTGCACGCTCCACAGTTTGGGGTATACAGACCATGTTGCTCAAACCAACTGTTTGGGGGACCAGTCCTAGGGCAAGTTGGTTCAGTTTCTGGAGGTCGCTCGCTCGCTCGCACAACTAGGTCATCTTGACTCGCACTCGCATGTTCAACCACCTCCCCAGTTTGCACAAACAAGCTTCTTACCAAACTAAACTCCCAGCGCAATGGCATCACGAGTTTAATGGACTTAGGACGAATCCTTTTGCATTCACCATCAATTGAAACGATACATTCATGAGCTTTTGACCCAAACGCAGGATGCAAATACGCACCTTCCATGAAACGTGGAAGTTCAGTCTTCCGCTGATCTCTAACCGAATCTGGAAGTTCGCACAAAACAACCGCACCAAAACTCGAAGTCACAGGCGTTTGCTGTTTGCGACCCTCAAGAAACTCTCTAGCAGTCTTAGTGGTTCCATGAACTCCAACATACATGTTTGACATGTGAGAGATGTACAAAACCAACTCATGCAAAGCGGCACCAGTCCTTTGGATGTCCAGTCCACTAGTTTGCAAGTCCATTCTCAAAACAACAAGAGTCTCCTTAAGAGTCCTTAAACAACGTTTTGCTAAACCATTCGTCTCTGGGCTCTGAGGCGCAGCTCTAGTCACTTTGACAGGTTTGTCCAGTTTCGCGTCTTGAAAAACCGCTCCTACTGCAACCTCATCATCGGTATACACATGGAGTACCCCTTGAGGATTTCCATCCATACATCCAAACTCTTTCAACCAGTAGGACAAGTTACGATGGTTCACATCAGAGTTGGGGGACATCCACAACGCTCCAAACATGTGTGAAGATAGATCTGCAACAACCAAAAACTTCTCTTTGCCAATGAAAAAGAAATCTGAATGCAACTCCATGATGATCCCACCTTCCGAGTCCTGGTTCTTCCGTCGGTGTTGACCAACAGATTTCGCAGCAACGCAATGCTTGCAGCTTGGATCATAAGGCATGTGTCCACGTGCACGATGAAGCTCATCGGGCTGTAGTCCATACCGAACCACATTGAGTTCCCCACTACTTAACTGTGATACCCCTGAAACCCCTTTACAAGAAATCCAAGGACAACCACCCCATTCAATCAGTTGACATTCAAGTCCACTGGAATGTTTCAAAAAAAACTCGTCAGAGCTCATTTGAATTGCCCATCCATTCTTAACCAAGGAACCCGTAGAAAGGATGTTACTTTTGGTGTCTCCTACCAAACATGCAATAAGAACCCTGGTGTTTTGCGTTTCACCGTTTCTCACAGTTTGCAAAGTCACTTCAAGTTTGACCCTTTCTGACATCTTTACAGGACTCCCATTCGCAGCAAAGAACCCTGCAGATGAAACATATGGTTCCCTCGAGACGATTTTATAGTTTCTCACATTCCTTTCAGAGATAACACTAACCGAAGCCCCACTATCTATCAACCACCAATCAGTTTCCTCTTGAAGGGTTGAGTTCAAAAGCGGCGACAACGGATCGCTTACCAAGCAGTGATGGTTATGCACCTCAGCAGAATTCTCATCACAGGCACAACCAGTCGTATCATGTGACCAAAGATCTGCCAGGCAATTCTTCAGACACACTCCACAACCGCAAATTTCATCACAGGTGCACCTAGCTATGCTATGTGGCAAGAGGTCTGCAACGCAATCCACTGCACACACTACACAGCTGCAACACGATCCAACCTTAACCATGTCATGTGACAAGAGGTCTGCAACGCAATCCACTGCACACACTCGGTCAGAAGCATGCAAACACATGCAAACATCACTGCTTGGCACCTCAAGACAACAATCTTTTCCCCTTCAACGGAGATTCACAGTACTCCAAACGCACTGGAGTCTCATGCCATGTCTCATCAAGGGTGCAATCCATCAACAACCGCATACCATGCAAGTCCGTCCAATGAGCTTTACTCCTAAAACCCATCCATGGATCAGTCCAGTGTTTCCTAGTGCAACCACAGTCCAGTAGTCCGTCACCCTCACACTCATGCAACCAATCCACAACAGTTACAAGATGACTGCAACACAGCCGCTTCCTATCGACTGCAACATCCCTGAAAACCATTTGAATACCGCAACAAAACATGAAACATGCGATGACATGCATGAAAACTGCAAAAACCGTTCCAAGAGTTCTCAAAGATTCCCATGAAACCCTGTGATTCCAAAAACTCATTGTTTCAGGTTTTGGTTTGAAAACGAAATCATCACAAATAGAGTTCTGAAAATGCTCAAATGCAGAATCCACCGCAACAACTTCCAGGATCTCAAACGTACACTCCATCTCGCAAGGTCCAGTGAGAACCATGGTAACCTGATCTGCACCACCAGCAGTTTCGTCACCATCCTGCTCTCCATCACCTTCAGTGACTTCAAACATTTTTTCTTTCTTTCCCTTCCCGGAACCCTTTGAAGATGGTTTTCCGTCCTGCGAAGCCTCTGCAGAACTCTTTCCAGAATCCTTGGACGACTTTCCATCGGAACTCTTAGATGATTTCACCTTACAGTTGGCACCAATGTGACCTTTCTTTCCACATTTGAAACAAGTAATGTTGGTCATGTCAGTTCTACACTTACTCGTTTCATGACGTTTCCCACACTTAGTGCAACGTTTGGACTTGTCACCCGTTCCAATGGCATCCACAGCACCCTCATCGTCAGATTCAGCACCCGACTCACCTTCCTGCACCTGTCTAAGTTTACCAGCAACTGCACCCAATTCACTATACAGTCGTTGTTGACGTTCGTACTTCAACCCTGCTTCCCTTAAGGCAGTCAAACCATCATCCTGGGCATGCAGCAGCACGTACTGGCGAGCATCAGCTGGCAAGTTCCTAATCAGGATCAAAGCCTGATCTGATTCATTCAGCAAGAGGTCTGTTCTAAGTACAGTTGGAGGAA